ACTGACGATAAAATGATATTCAAAATGACTTTACCAACGACTTTACTGATGCAATTACCGGCCACGCTTCTGTCACATATTTTGAGCGTATACACATGGGGGGATAAGTTTTGGCCACCGGTGATGCTTCACATGATTGACCAAAGCCATCGTCAATGAAACCATTCATCATCGAGAATCCTACTATTATACCAGGACTACCCAGCCAGAGTTGTCTGCATGTATATACAAACAATGGATCCACCAAAATGAAATTGTATTCTTTAACTGTTATAAGCTCATTAATGCCAGATACCATTTGATGACCCCATCGAAATATTCTACTTGGGGACTCAACTATCTCGAGATCTAGAGGAGGAGCTTCATAGGAAAACATTGATTTTCCGGCGGAAAACAGGAAACACCGGAAACTACCAGTAAATTCGTATTTTCTTTGCCTTTAACATGCCTTTAACAGGTAAAGTCGTCAGTAAAGTTGTATTTTATTGCATTTAACATGCCTTTAGCAAGGAAATGCATCTGTAAACTCGTCGGTAATAGGACAGGAATGCCTTTAACACACAGTCGGTCTGTTATTGCATCAAATAATGTGTATCTCGCAACTTTTTGTATGGGAAACGTCATGTCAAAATTGATACATTTCCACGTCTACTAGAGCATGCAGGGTGCATCTTGGCAAGAAATTACATACATACATGTAGTAGCTAGATGAAATTTCTAGCAAGTTCAAAGGTTTACATGTGTTATAAATCCCTCCCATCCCTCTTTGTTTGTTGTACATCTTCATGTGTTGATTCGAATTTACACAAGACAAATTAATAGCCACGAACTAAGTAGGGTGATCACCTAGCTACACCTACATATAGCTAGTTAGTATATATCCCTTCGTGTGTTTTCACGACCAGGCGCTAATGGGCAGCTTTTATTCGATAATAAACCTAACCCTCATTCCGTGAACCTTTTGCTGTAAAGTCACCTTCTGTGACCCTTCCTATACCTTTTTCAGGTGTCTCCACAGTCTGTAGGTAGCTAGATTTCCTGAATATCACCACGCCGTCATGGGCCTAATATGTCTCTGTTTTTGCTGCAACGAACGAAGGGATATATATCCCTTCATTCGTCAGAGAAAAATCGGAGACATATTAGGCCTGCGACGGCGTGGTGATATTCAAAAAATCTAGCTACCTACAGACTGTGGAGACACCAGAATAGGTATGGGAGGGGTCACAGAAGGTGACTTCACAGCAAAAAGAGGTTCACGGAGTGAGGGTTAGGTTTACTACTGAGTAAAAGTCGCCTTCCTGGAAAATAGCGCCCGGTCACGAAGGGATGGGGGTAGCTTAGTGCCAGACTACATGTAGCTACAAAGAAGCTGCGCAAGGTACGCACCTTGGCGCCAAGAGGTTTGCTGGGTATGTGACGTAGAGTGAAACATACGAGTGACGAACTATGAATCAGACTAGAAGTATCCTATACCAAATCTCTCTCCCTCCGAGACAGACGCCAGCTTAAAGAAATTACCATAGCAATTCCCGGGGCCCAGTGTATTCTAGGATATTATCAGGGTTAGGGTTACATGTTCTATCCCTTCGTGTGTTTTCACGACCGGGCGCTATTTTTCCAAGAAGGCAAAGAGATGGAATCTCTGACTAGAGTTTTTTTCATAGTCTGTCACTCAACCCAAGATCCAAACCCAATCCTTCAAACTTTCCACAGAACTATTACGGCATGAGTATGAGATTGCGTGTTCTGTGGCTTGCTGTGCTGCGTTGGTTTTTAAAGGCTCGTGGTGCGAATCAAAGATCTAGATGGTACAGTGACTATACAAGAGTTTCAATGATTAGATTATGATATGCACTGGTAGCCACGACTCTTATGTTCGTGTGAGGAGTTCTACATGTACACTTTGTCCTTGGTGACGGATCCTGCAGGTTGGTGAAGAAACCAGGTTGGGGACCGGGCCGCCACGTCGAGAAATCTAGGTCTATGTGTCTCATCAATGCATGCGTAGTGTACCGCCTCCAAATCTTTGTTCACTAGTCGAGGAGTATTCGCATACACAAGGCATAATACTGTGTCAAACTATTATAGGCTTAAGTTCATATCAACCACCAATCCCTTAATTGTCAGACGAAACTATCTATCTGACGAGGCCGGAGCCATCAGCCCATCAATTGCCGAACAAAGCTAAACCGCCCTGGTAACCCCCCCGTACAAAACATTAAGCGGGTATCACGACTTCCCCCACACAAACCCAACTATTCGGGATTGTTTTTACCATACAAAACCCCGCGCACTTCCCTACGATTTCCCCACAGAAATTTAGTTATTCGGGGATGCATTTCCCGACGACTTTCCCCTAGTGATGGGGGCACAATACAAAACAAGACGATACTTGAGCAATTTTCGTCTTTTCTCGTGGATTATAGAAGGTGGTCTCGAAATTAACAATACTTGAGCCATATATTGCGCAAAGTCTCGAGACTTAGGGTTAGGGTCAACTAGTCGAGCTTTCGTATCAGTTTACCTCACAATGATATTTTTTGCACGAGGGTTTTTAGGGGAAGCCATCAAAACTAGATTTAAAGCTGGTATGGAGATCATAAACGATCACTCGCAAGTTTCGAAAAGTCTCGAGACTGTTTTGTCTTGTTTTGTCTTCTCTCTTTCTGGTCCTGTTTTTGTTTTGTCTCGTATTTCGGGACAAAGTCTTGAGACTTTTCGTCTTGTGCCCATCACGACTTTCCCCACGTAATTTTAATTATTTTTACTATACAGTATTTTAAACTTTCGCCATACCAAAAACGACCCATTTCCCGACGACTTTCCTCACACAAAAATTGATGCATTAACTAATGCACTTCCACTCGTAGTAGAGACGGAATCGTAGAATTCCGAGTGACACCTTATGACATAGCAACCACCCGATCACGAAATTTCAATCGCTTATAACTTTACCACCACAAAAGATATCAAAAATCTGTCAGAACAAATGCTAGAGACAATGAAGAAGAACAAAATGACCGGACATATTTCTGATATCTATCATGGTCATGAAGTTATAAGAGATTGAAATTGGCTGTTTTTGTATGTAAAAAGCGCCAAGAGTGAACAAAGTGGAATAATATTATACCTATTTATACCCCTAAAAAAGCATACCTGCCTGAGCCGTGGCAGCGAGGCACCAAGACGGCTAGAAATAGGCCCTCTGATTGGCCTGGGAGTCACTTCCATATGCCCCCGTGTCACCTTTAAGACTAGGCGCACCATAGCTAAATTAAGCCAGTTATATCAATCGGCATGTCACAAACGCAGCGTGAAGTGATCCGATAGTCTTATTGGTCCTTGATTTATTGGCCTTCGACCCCCTCTAGCTCCAGCTCTCTCCAATGTACCGGGTGTGCACGTTAAATACCGAGACGCCTTGAAGGATTGGTTGATTTTGTATGGGAACCGCCCATGGTAACCAAAAGCAGCCAATGAATTTTGGCCTTGGCCTCAAAATTTATATGGTGGAAAAAAATACCGAGACGTTTTATCTATCTTCACTTAAAAATTCAAATATTTTCCTAAAAATACAAAAAATAACCACTGAATAGCCCTTGCTCACAGGTTCACCTGAGTACTGATTCGAAGTTATCAAAGAAGTTTTGGTGAAGTTCGAAAAGAACAGGAGTAGAAAAGAGGTTGAGGAGGTTGCGTTGCAAAAGCTGTGGGGCAGACTGTCCAAATACCTGCTTGGCTGCCAAGTATCATTTTAATTATATCAGCCCAATCAGATTCCTTTACAAACCCTCACTTTTTAAAATTCCCCAAAAAGGGGTTCTCAGTACTTACCCTCAACCCCCGGTACTCTACTCACATCGTAGTGTTTCCCTCTGCGGCTGCGGGGGGATTCCCTCCGATCTGTCACATACCGTAGCTCAACCAATCAGATTAAATGAGTGTTTAGATTGGGGCTCTTAGAGTCGACCAATACAGTTGGACAGAAAGTCCTACACTTCCTATTGGCTGCAAGGTGCATGAAATTTCTACTCGTAATTTTTTGACGTTTCCGGACTGAACTGGGTCTGCATATGGGCGAAAATCGTGCATAACAACCATATTTTGGTGGTATGCAGACCCAGTCCAGTCCGGAAACGCCAAAAAATTACGAGTAGAGCCGGAATATTACTGTTAACTGCTTGTGGCCAACGCTTGTGTTAGCAGTATACGTAACAATCAAAATGGTCGCGACATTCATCAAACCCCAACATAATAACTCTACCCAGAGACGTACCTGCATAACAGCTAAATTAATCGGGCTCTATAGTGATAGAGCAGGTGAAGCTAGTCGAATAACAGAGAGATAAAATAGGGCGTGGTTATATATGGATGTTATTAGCTTTGAAATCTTGACGACGGAATTGTGCTCCAAGTTATCCCAATTGCAACCATAAGCCTATGATATGATTGCGCTTTTGTACATATGAGCGGCCGTATAGGCCGCCTATTGCTGCGGGGAATTATCAGGAAGTATTTTAATTGGATTGCTCACGATATCGGAAGGAAACTAACATCAATACCCAGAGGGAATCCGTACTATAATAGGCTGAGGTCAAAGAACAAAACGTTCAAACATGGACGGGTTACTGTGATGATCGGGATTTTAAAACAGCAGCCACATATAGCCGTATATATATTACCTCTATCTTCTCCATTCTTTTCAATATAATAACCACTCGTTCGTGCGAGCAAGGAGAGGCTCGGTGCGATGCGCGCATATATATGTGAATAGGGTTTGGATCGAAACTGACAAGACTAGCTATATATCGTTGCGCAGAGGACTAAAAGTGCTCACTGCATCTATCACTATTTGAATATTGACTATCTATTTAGGAAAGTTTGCTCTGATATTGTCAGATTAATAAGTAGAAAGCTGAATGATCGTTTTTAACGTACATGAATCCCCATACGTGGTATATAGTCCTCTTTGATCCTACGTCCCGTACTCCTTCAGCTTACACTATCTGTGGATTCCGCTCACGATACGCAACAAAATTCTGGACCGTCGTCCTGTAATCATAATAGATATTCTGAATGTTCCGTACTCCGTTCTCGTTATAATGGCAATTGTGGAGGACTTGTAAGGGGCAACCAAGGCTTGATCGCTCATTATCGAGGTTTTCGAGTCTCTGAAACACCGCCATCGTTAACCTCAGCGCTTTCTCAATATAAGGATTATTTATTCTGGGAGACTTACGATTTTGTTCTTCAATCTTCGTCCCCTGAAAATCTTCCACACCTTCCAAGTCTTAAAAAGGGTCAAAATGGCGACTAGGACGGCAACTGCTGCGAGAGAGGTATTTGATATGGATACATTATCCCAGCTACCGGCGTTCTGGCTGAGGGTTTCGAAATTATAAGTTTCATTTTGGTGCGAAGATGAGTCTCGCAGGAATAAAGAGTTTGTGAAGACTGGCATGTAGATCCGTGTAGGTTTAGAGTGCAAAGTCGCGCGATATATATGGTATACGCAGCAGAGCTCGAGAGGCAGCGAGTATTATAAACGAACTTTCGAATTAACCAGGGATTATAGGTGATTTATAGTTGGGAGTTGTCTACAGCCTTGCCAGCACGTGACCGTACAAATATCTTCTTGTGCAGAAAAAATTGTAAGTTCTTTGCTCTCCCGCCGACCGCTCGCTCTCCCCAGTGAAAAATGCTGCAGCTATGAGAATTTGTTTTTCCGAATGGCTAAGTCAACTTGAAAAGCTATTGGCCGCAATGCGAAAGGTTTACCTTGATTACTTAAGTGAAAGGAATAAGTAAATTGGTATATGACATGTCGTAGCCTTTCATACCAGCCTGCTACGATCACATCACTTCTGTTAAATCTGCACTTCTGTTTAATCTGCGCTTCTACAGATGTTTTTCTCGGCATATGTCCGCGAGCTACGTAAAGCAGTACCTGGTAAGTTGCTCACTTGTATGATTGATGATGGTTCAAACTTACCGAACGCCAGGTAAAACTCTTCTCACAGTACTAGTGTACTCGAAACCCACCTCACCCCCCATATCCCCTCACTGCGGGCAGAGACGTCGTAATCACAACAATACCGCAGTGGCGGGTAGTTGATATACCACAGCAACCAGACACCGGGGGCAACAACCTGTACAATACCAATATGGCCCACATACCATATGAATTCGGCGCGGTACGATATTTTCTACCAACCCTGCCCCTATTATCCTCCTGGTAGGGATTATTCGGGTGGTACTCAGGGTACCGGCGCAACACAAACCCTGGTTCTTAACCAAACTGTTCGTGTCGATATGTTATTGCTGAAACTGCATAATATAGATATAGCTAGCGGTTTAGTTTTGTTCGGCAATTGATGGGCTGATGGCTCCGGCCTCGTCAGATAGATAGTTTCGTCTGACAATTAAGGGATCGGTGGTCAACATAAACTTAAGCCTATAATAGTTTGGCACAGTATTATGCCTTGTGTATGCGAATACTCCTCGACTAGTGAACAAAGATTTGGAGGCGGTACATTACGTATTGTTGAGACACACAGACCTAGAGTTCTCGACGTGGCGGCCTCGTCTCCAACCTGGTTTCTCCCCCAATCGATCTGGATCCATCACCAAGGACAAAGTGTACATGTGAAACTCCTCACATGAACATAAGAGTCGTAGCTACCAGTGCATATTATAATCTAATCATTGAAACTCTTGTACAGTCACTGTGCTGTCTTTGCACCACGAGCCTTTGCAAACCAGCGCATAACACTATGTCACAGAACACGCAATCTCATACTCATTCCGTAACAGTTTTGTGGGAAGTTTGAAGGATTGGGTTCGGACACTGGGTTGGTTAAACCGTAAATTAGCAGCCTAGGACCTGCGGACACACAGACGATGCACCCAGGCTTGTAAGGTCGGGCGCACCATTCATCGGTACCGGAGGCTAAACCGCTGCTAAGATACTTGTATCCTTTAAAAACGATAGGACTACTCTAGAGAATGTGTAGAGTATCCTTGTTCTTATTTCTATGTTTTAGGTGGGGTTGATACGTGGATCGAGACTCGAATAGCTACCACAGCTTATCACAGTTTACCCGGCCGGCCTACACAGCTTATCACTCGAATAGCTACCACAGCTTATCACAGCTTATCACTCGAATGGCCACCAAGCTAATTAGTCAAGAGAGAGAGGTCCTAACCCACATAGCAACCAGCCCACCCCACCAAAATCTTCTACACCGCAACAAAAAGGTCCCATAAATTGAATTAACCAAGGATAGCAAGATGTACATGGAGAGGGAAAGAGGTGGGGTGGGCCGAAAATAGGAAGGAAAGCTGAAAGTGAAGCAGGGAGAGAAGCTGGCAGAGGAGCTGGCAGAGGAACCGGGAGGAGAGTTGGGAGGAGAGCTGGGACAAGCTGGGGATATCAAAAGTAACAACTCGCGGTCGCGAGGTGGATGGACCCCTCTAGTAATAAGGCACTACAGATTCCGGTAGGATTAATGCGAAAGTGGGTTTTCCGTGACCCCGCTAGCCCCTAATTGGCCCTTAAAAGAGTTTGTAGTCAGCACGGACCTTTTATAGCGCTGACTGTCGCAATAAGTTTACCGGAATCTGTATGGGCTAATAGTAAGTCCGCGCTAGCACAATATGTTAGACCAGTCATTGGATGAGTATAATTTACCAACAAGGGCCGGGAATGTTTGATGTCATCACGCTAGTCTCCTTGTCGGGAGCATCCGCTTGCTCCTAGATCGATAGTATAGTAGATACAGCAATCTCTCACTATAAGGATATGGTTGGGGACCGGAAATGGGTATCCTTATAACGAATTATCATTATAGAAAGTTTAGGGTTAGATTTTCTAGAGTTGATTTGCGTTGCGGGTTCCAAATCCTTTGGTAAAAGTCTGCCTTTTCTGATTTGATTTTTGTGATTCTAGCATTTGAAGAAAATTTGATGCCAAGACTATTACTTTCTATAAGGATACGCATACAAAACCTTGCCTTTTTGGTAAGGATATTCTTATAGTGAAATATCCTTAAAATTATCTATAAAACACACGGGACTGGCAACCCTCGAGGCGCCTTGGAAATGTGTACCTGAAAAATATTAAAAATATTCAGTAAAAGTCGTCGGGAATGGATTTTATTTTTTGCTGGGTAATGTCAAGATTTTGGTGGAGGGAAAGTCGTTTTTAAAGGGAAATCGGACGACTTTACAGACGATTTTTTAATGACTTTACCCGACGACTTTACTAGCGACTTTACTGACTAGTACTTTACCTGTCACGCTTCTGTCACTCATTTTGGGCGTATACACAAGAGAAGGGGGGGGGGGGGGGCATAGGTTTTGGCCACCGGTGATGCTTCACATGATTGACGAAGGCCATCGCCAATGAAACGAATCATCAAAGAGCATCCTCCGATTATACCAGGAGTATCAAAGGAGAATAGCATGCATGTATATGATGCCAAACAATGGATCCACCAAAACGAAATTGTATTCCCCAACTGTTACAAGCCCATTGATGCCAGATACCATTTGATGACCCCCATCGAAATAGTCTATTTGGGGGGACTCAACTATCTCGAGATCCAAACAAAAGGCTTCATCGGAAAACATTGATTTTCCGGCGGAACAATGGGACACACCGGATACCAGTTAGTTTTAACAGGTAAATGCATCAGTAAACTCGTCGGTGAATGGGACAGGAATGCCTTTAACACAAAGTAATTATAATGCGGTTATTGCATCAAATAATGTGCATCTCGCAACTTTTTTGTATGGGAAACGTCAAAATTGATGCATTTCCACGGCTACTAGAGACCCATATCCTTATAGGGCATATATCCTTATAAAAAAGTATGCTTATAGCGAGAGACTGCTGTACTTCTTGTTGAAAGATAGATTTGGGGGGGGGGGGGTCCTGTTTATGGCGGTATCTTCTAGATCTACGGGGGGTGGTCTACTGTACGGGGGTGGATCTGATGTTTCTTATTCGCTGAAATTGCCCACATAACCGCACATCTACACAATTGCACAAAACCCAGTAGTGTTTTCAACTCCAACTTAAGATGCCAGGCAGGTCCTGTATTCCGACCACCCAGAACACCAAACACGACACTCACGACCACCCCAAAGCACAACCAATTGAACCAAATTTTTATTCCACCCACCACTACCTACCCCCCCCCCCCCCCTCTCTTACGGCGCCTGGCTAACGCTCTCCTCCCCACTACCCCCTCTATGCCCCTCCACGCCCGTGTTCGGCGGCTCCACCACCTCCACCAGCCACCCAAACGTATCCGGCAACCTCCCCGTCTGCACGCCCTTCAGCGTCTTCAGCAATGCAAGCACACCCTCGCCGGGCTCGTCGCCGCAGTAGCTGATCTTCAGGTTCGTGCTCTTCATCGTGATGCTCTTGATGGGCACGAGCGCCGCGGCGGTGCCGGCGGCCATCACTTCCGTGAAGGTGGCGAGCTCGGTGAGTGGGACCTGGTTGTCCGTGTTAGTTGGCTGGTTAGTTAGCTAGGGGGCGGGGGGGCGGGGGGGACGTACAGGGCGGACTTCGACACTCCACCCCCACGACGCCGCAATCTCCTGGATACTCCTGCTCGTGACTGATCTAATCACGCTGTTGCTGTCCGGCACCACAAGCGTCGTCTTCTCCCCCTCCCTCTTAATCCCCAAGAACCCACTCGTGCTAAACTCATCCACAGTCGTCCTCGTCTGCGAGTCCAGATGCAGCGTAATGCCATACCCCTCCTTCCTCGCCGCCTCACTATGCACCAGCACCGGCGCATAATTGCCCCCCACCTTCGCGCTCCCCGTGCCGTTCGGCGCGGCGCGGTCGAACGTCTCCAGGATCAGGCAGTCGACGGGGTGCACGCCGTGGTAGACGCCGACGGGGAGGACATACACGACGAAGGTGTACTCGTCGGGCGGGTTGAGGCCGAGCTGCGCGCAGCTGCCGAAGAGCAGTGGGCGGATGTACATGCTTGCGCCGGTGGCGTGGGGCGGGACGAACTCGGCGTTGAGGGCGACGGCCATGTTGACGGCGGTGAGGAAGAGGGGCTCGGGGGGCGCGGGCATGGCGATGAAGGAGGCGCTGTGCTGCATGCGGCGGGCGTTGAGGGAGGGGCGGAAGATGTTGATTGCGGTGTCGTCGGGGGAGCGGAAGGCTTTGAGGCCCTCGTAGCATTGCTGGCCGTAGTTGAGCGCGGGGGCGAGGCCGTGCAGGGAGAGGAAGGGGGAGGAGACGAAGGTGGGGGGGGTCCAGGTGCCGGTGTGGACGCTGTAGTGCGACTCGATGTGGCCGTTTACTTCGCGCACTTTGAAGCCGATATTGGACCAGTCTAGGTGTGTTAGTAGGGGGTGGTAAGAGGGGGGGGAGGGGGAGGGGGAGGGGGGGACTGACCAATTGAGCTGGTGGGCGGCGGTGGGAAGACCATCTTCAATTGGTTGGGCGGATGACGTATGTAGTCCTGAAAAATAAAAAGAGTATACAAAAAGCACAGAAAGAAAAAAATCAATCGTCAAGATTCCTCCTGGGCGAAGAGAGACGGACAAGAGAGAAGAGAAGAAAGAGAAGAAAGGGGTGAGGAGATGAGGTGAGAGATGAGGGGTTCTTTTTAGACACAGCTGCAAGGAACTCGGAAGTCAAATGCGGGGGTGGGGCAAGCAGGGCAAGGCAAGGCAACGGCAGCTTCCGGAGCACCACTAATACGCACGCATGTATCATGGTAGGGCTGCAATTAACAACCAAACCATTGAATTCTCCCGGTGCCTGTCGATGCCTGGGGATTATGCTCAAATCGCTCACGGGGATGCAATGGACTACATCCAGTGAGGTGAGGTTTGCATTGGCCAATTGGGCATTATCCATACATATAGTGAGGGGGTTTTCCATCCCATTGCCTTATTACTCCATCTGACTGTGGGGGTCACGAGGGCAAATTCTTTCCATCACTAAACATTGATCACTCTCGTGAGGAGGTTCATGGGCGGTGAGTACAGGATGTTTTATTTTCCGAGCGATGGAGTGAGGTTGTTGCGCAACAACACCTAACCCTGGCTGCAGAGAACAAACGGTCGGCTAAAACGCGATGCAGCGATAAGATTGATCTGATTAACCAACGACAATGCAACTTCAGGGTCCAAGCGTCGTCTCACTCGCTCACCTCACCTCACGGGTCACGGATGAACACTTGAATCTGCAGCAGGGCTAGGGTTACACGGGGCTAGGGTTACACACGCCTCACCTCAGCCCACGCACTGGCTGGACACAAGCCCCTGGAACACGGGGAGAGCAGCAGCACCGGTGTGCTGTGCCTGTGGATACACGCCATGCGGGCAGAGCGTTGTCCATCCGCGCCAGTGAGCGAGTGAGCGAGTGAGCGAGTGAGCGAGTGAGCGAGTGAGAGAATCAGGCCAGAGTTAGCATGAGTGACAGCCCTTTGTTATCGGGCCTTTTAGTGAGACATTGTGCCCTCCTTTCCACTTGCACCACCGCCTGCCTCCCTTGCCCCTGCCGCGTGGACAAAGCTTTGTGTACATGTAGTTATGCACACCGACTCTATCTGCACCTCGCTGGGGCCGCAAGAAGATTCCACATCCAGACGGGTCCTGGCAGCGCCCCCCCTCCCCCACCAATCGCTGCGGGTGCCCGCCCAGCCCACCGGTAGAGTGCGAGCAGAGTACATAGAGAGAGCTCGTACTTGGCTGCACGCTCGGACGGGTTCTGTCTGTCCCGGAAGCAGGAGAAGCCATCCAGACCATCCAGCCAGCCAGCCAGTCCCTAAACAGCCAGCCAGCCAGCCAACAGCTAGCTGCTGCTAATTGGCACCACTAGCGAAGATCTCCTGAGCGAGCGAGCGAGTCGAGCCCACACTACAATACCTCCCCCCACCCACCACCAACCATCACCACAACCACTCTCCTTCACCACCACCATCCACACCCGTCTCCCAAACCACCAAGCAAGCAGCGCGAGAGATGGCCCGCCACCGGCTCCCGCTCCTCGCCGCCGCCGCCGCCCTCTTCATAATCTTCTTCTTCCTGCTGCTCCCCGCGGACACGGCGCACCCCGCCGGCACCAGCGCCTCCAAACACGCCAGCGTCACCGTCGTCGACTCGACGCCCAGCTTCCGCTCCGACGACCAGTCGGGCTTCGCGATCGCCAAGGAGGAGGTCGCGGGCGGCGGGCCCCCGCTGCTGGGAGGCGACATCCATAAGGAGATCCTCCATGGCGAGACTATCATGCCGAAGTTGGGGAATGAGACGGCAAAGTAAGTTCCCTACCCCCTGGATATGCGGATGGGGGTGAATGTGGTGGGGACTGACACAATGGACGGATGCACAGAGCGGAGCTAGGCCGCGCCTCGTGGAAGCTGCTGCACACGACACTCTCCCGCTTCCCGAAGAAGCCCGCGAAGGACGAGCGCGAAGCGCTCTCCTCCTTCCTATACCTCTTTGCGCGCCTGTACCCCTGGTACCTCCCTCCCTCCCCCCTCCCCCGCCCCCCCTCTTCTAACACGCACTAACCCCGACAACCACAGCGGCGAATGCGCCACCCACTTCCAAGCGCTCCTGCAGCGGTACCCGCCGCAGACGTCCTCGCGCGACGCCGCGGCGCAGTGGGGCTGCTTCGTGCACAACCTCGTCAACGAGCGGCTGCACAAGCCGGCGTTCGACTGCGGGGCCGTGACGGAGATGTACAAGTGCGGGTGCGCTGACGCGGATGCCGAGGAGGAGGGGGAGGGGAAGGGGAAGGAGGAGAGGGTGGGGGAGCCGATGGAGACGGCGGGGGTGACGGCGGGAAGGCCGCTGACGGCCGCGGAGGGGGTGGATTTGCTGGAGGTGAATACGAGGAGGGCCGGGGTGGAGATGCAGAGGGATGGGTAGGTTGCTCTTGCGGTTGTTTTTGTTGGTGGTGGTGGTGGTGTTTTTTCTTTTTCTTTTCTTTTTCTTTTTGCGCGGGGATTGGGCTGACCTGGGGGGTGGGGGTAGGATGATGAATGGTGGTTAGAACACACACAGCAGTAGAGAGGGATGGGGGGGATGTAGAAATAGTTTTTTTTATTTTTTATTTCTATCGTTTGTGCGGCGATTAACCTAATAGGATCCAAGGAGTTTTTTGTCTGGTTCTTGTTCTGCCCTTTTTTTTGCGGTTTTTCCAGCGTGTGGTGCGTGTTATCAAAAGCCGAAAAGTTAGCTGTAGGTGGATCCCAAGATCTGATAGGTTGTTGCTGGGACATGGGCAGTCACTCGTCTTTTTGGTGTGTGCTGGTTGGCTGTCATTGGTCCCGGTCCCTTGGCGATAGGCTGCCGTAATGTAGAGCTGCAACACAGTACACTCGCCGAGCCACCAACGCTGCGGGCGTGGGTAGGGTTGAGTCAGTCAGATTTTATTGCGATTGGTGCCTAATTGGTACTGCCCATTCGATCCTTCTGCAGATATAGATCTGGATATCCCCATGGCTAGTTGGTTGCCCAGATCGTAGATGCAACCGCTAATGCGGTGCTCGATCCTGTATATGTGCGGATGGTATGGCTGCTGGTTGGCTTGTGAATTGAGCGCACGTTGGACCGGAAGTGCTCCTTTCTCGCGGAGCCATTGGTTACCATTCGTCAGGAGAGCTCTCATCAGCGCCATTGTGGATGGTGGCTGGCTTGTATAATGACGTACACGTGCACGGCTGGCGGCACCAATTGAACCTAATCCTCGCTGTACTGGCCCGGTAGTGATATATAGTGCTGCTCTGATTCGTAGCTTAAGGAATTGTATGTTAGTGGCCGGCTAGCTAGGCTGCAAGTGCAGTGACCGGTTCCCGGCACGCCGGCCGCGGGGAATGGTAGGGTGTTTTCTAGTAGGGTAGGGTAGAGTAGAGATATCGTACTGAGAAGGTGGTCATGATGCTGCTGTGCGCTGTACATGTTGAGGGGCGGTATGTGTGTGCTATGTGCCGGAGTATGTAGATATATCTCTTGTGGAGCCGGAGAATCGGGAGGGGGGGGGGGGGGTAGATAACACCGGGCGTTGGGCGGGGTGCTCTGGCTAAGGAAAATAAAAGCTGGAGTGAACTGGGGCATGGACATTGTTGGTGCCCGTGGTATGGATTGTTACAGAGGGACGGGGGAGGAGGGTTGTGTCTCATTGCAATTGAGTCAGAGGTGGGTTGTTCACCGTACATATTCTACATTCATGTATCCTATGATTTACGGCGCCGGTCACGGTTTTTGCTCTACGTACTCGCTAGGGTGGAGAAATACTGGGTTATTTTTGGTATTTTGGGTTGAGGAGGAAGATATTCTACCGCCTTTTTTTTTTTTTTATTACACATGACCCTGAGATTTTGTGCTGCATTCTGTAGTGGTGTTTTCAGCGTGCGAGGACGAGGGTGGGTGGGTACTAGGATAGCGTTTACACGGCGAAGCCGAGCTCATTACGGGGAGTCGAGAACTACGGAGGCCTACCCCCCGTGACAAGGCATCACTTCCACTGTCCGCACACCTAACAGTCAGCCCTCTCTACGCAACCGCTCAGTGCATACATAGCCAGTAGATTGCCCGAACCGCGCCTTAGGGCAACCCAGCCATACTATCGGCGAAATCCAGGCTTAGCACTCCCCACCGGCGCTATATAAGACGCCTCTTTCCCCCACCAAACGTTTTTCCTCAGGGAGCAGGCAGCTCTCTAAGGACTACATAGTAGTCTGGGAGCTGCCTCCTCCCCACTCCTCCTCGGGTCCCTGGCCCCCCTCCCCCCCCCCACTCTCTCCCCCCCCCCCCAAACTCTCTCCCCCCCCCCCCCCCACTCTCTCCCCCTCTCCTGCTCTCAGAGCAGGAGAGGGTTCCAGAGCGTGGGGTTAGAACTCCCCCCCGGTCTCGCTTGGGCACTGTTGCCCTAGAGACCGCGGGGGAGTTCTGACCCCACCACTCTCTCTCCCCTCCGCCCCTCCTGCTGCTGCAGGAGGGCGTGACACCAGCCTCCCTTGGCCCCGGGCGTAACGCCCGAGGCCTTGGGGGGCGCGGGTCACGTTAGTCCTCCTCTTAACGGAGGGGGTGGCGGGGAGAATTTGGCCTCTCCTGGTCCTGCGCTGCAGGACTGGGAGGGGCCTTTTTTGCGTTGGGTCTCCCTCCTCGTTTGGGGGGGGGGGGGGGGGGGTGAATTTGGCCTCTCCTGGTCCTGCGCTGCAGGACTGGGAGGGGCCTTTTTTGCGTTGGGTCTCCCTCCTCGTGGGGAGGGGTGAATTTGGCCTCTCCTGGTCCTGCGCTGCAGGACTGGGAGGGGCCTTTTTTGCGTTGGGTCTCCCTCCTCGTGGGGGGGGGTGAATTTGGCCTCTCCTGGTCCTGCGCTGCAGGACTGGGAGGGGCCTTTTTTGCGTTGGGTCTCCCTCCTCGTGGGGGGGATGAATTAGGCCTCTTCTAGTCCTGAGGGACCAGGAGGGGCCTTTTTTACGTTAGGTTAGCCAGTCCCTCCAGTCCCTCCCGTCTCCGCTTCTGCTTCTGCTCCCTTCTCACGGAGGGGGCGGTAAGTTCGGCCCCTCTTGGTTCTTCGAGACCAAGAGGGGCCTTTTTTGCGTTGGGTCGTTTTGTTCCTTCCGTCCCTACTTCTGCTCCCTCTTCGCAGAGGGGGCTAAGCCTGGCCCCTCTTGGTCCTTCGTGACCAGGAGGGGCCTTTTTTGCGTTAAGTCTTCCTGTCCCCCGTCATTGCGGCCTTTGCTCCTTCCGTTATAGAGGTCCCTATCAATTCTTGGGTTCTGTCCGAGGGATTGAGAGGGGTCTCATTGTTTTTACGTTTCCTCTCCTCAGTCTCATTCTTCATACGAGTAGTCTACCCTTACAGCATAGTCTGCGCACGCGCGCATGCCGGGACAATAGGTTAGTAAGCAGCGGTAATGATCGCTGTGCATGAAATTTGATCTGGCGGTGCTGTGTTGTATATCCCATGCGAATACTCCCCGTAGATACTGTGAGACTTAAAGATACGTAGCAAGGAAAGATGACTGTATAGCGGGGTTATCAGAGCGACAATCGATGTCGCGTGCGTGCGGATCATTTAATCATGGATAATCACTCGCTCCCCCCGCTACGCGACTGGGTGGCCAATTACTATTTTTTGTCTACCAGTAAAATACTGACCCCCCAAAAGAAGTAAAAGTCGGTTGACTTTACCGGTAGATCTTGTTACCTCTCTTCCGAAATAATAAAAAACCTGTACAAATTTAATTTCTCTATCATCGGGGGTCAGTATTGATAAATCAAGAGATACTCAGGTGCTGTCTCTCTCGCTAACTAGAGCTCATACATTCCTTCCGCTTGTATTTCAAAGGGCTTTCTAGTTAGTCAGGTAAAGCTATATCATATTTCCCATTCCACGAATAAAAGAGTGTAGTGTAGCTCAAGTGGTAATTGAAGGCTGAGTGAGTAACGGCTACATCGTGATGGAAAAAACAATTCGATTAAAGATTTCACCAGAGAGGAGATAAGAAAGAACTATTCCAGTTTCGGAATAACGGGCCATGCTCAAGGAACACTGGCTTCTTGGTGCAAATGTTTGGGAATAGGGTCAATGATTGAAATGCACATAAATTGCCAAGTCTTGGATCACAGCTGCTCACTCGGCTCTCAAGCCTACTTCGAGACGAATGATTCATTGAGTACATGCAGATGAATGATTAATGAATTACATGCAGCCCTCTGACCTTGGTACTACATGCATATATCAAGGAGGTAAGACTGGCTGCCAAGGTTTGAATGACTTTTCTGACACCTGCGGTACACACCTAACCCTGTGTCGCCAACGAACCACAGGTGCCAGCGTGTACCCACGTGTGGTTGGTTATTCAGAAAGTAATAACCCTGACCCTGTCATGTCGCTCCATGGTTGAACCCAATCGGCGCCATGTTGTCCATTACGTCCTTGGCTTAACACGTTGCGAGATAAGATGTGCCTGGATCTAATCTATGCACCCTTTGAATCTTTCCAACACTCACAATAGTGAATCATCCTCGATCATCTATCATAGGAATGATCCCATGCGGAAGAAACGTCTAGCTGTTTAGAATAGCTGCGGAGTATGTGGGAGAAAAGACTCTGCCAAAAGAGCAAAACCAATAGAATGACTTCAATGCCCAGCTACGCAAGTTTACTTTCAGATTTTGCGAATAGAAGTTGTGGATACGCAGCAAGCCTTTATATATACTGTTGCGCAGACCGACATATACACATCTATACACATCTATAGATCTACATGTACATGTAGTTTACCCCATTAAACCCTTGAAAAGCGTGGCTATGGAGAAATGCTCCTAAAGAACACAATAAATTAGAGGCATCGATCGAGATTTGTAATTCACATGTTTCTGTTACCTACCAGTTTATCTACTTCATAATCGTTTTTTGCTGGGAAATTTTTTTAAATCTGTGTAATAGGCGAGCCAAGACCGAGTGATAGCTCATGAATACAATTCATTAGACACACCCACAACACCGTCCATGATCAAAAATACTTGTCACTCGGTTAAGCGTTGTGGCATTAAAGACATAGTTATCATCAGCTTAATTTTTTAACACGTGTGCCCTAATTTGGTATTTATCTTGGAGCAATCGACATCATCCCTCAGCAGCGCACTACCATCCCCGCCGAAATGGATCCATCCATCATGAACCTCATCCCCGTGAAACCCTTCCACGGGAGATCCGATGAATGCGTCGACGATTTCATCGAGTCTATCAACCTATACTTCTCCTCGCGCCCCATGACAGAACTCTACCCCACCGAGGAGCAACAAAACAGGGCAAAGCTAGTCCTCCTCAAGCACAAGCTCATGGGTAAAGCTGTCACATGGGCATTCTACCGGCCCGATGATGTCCGGCTTTCGTGGGAAGAGATGAGCAAAGAACTGAAGCAGGAGTACGATGGCCCTAGAAGAAGAAGACTGGAAAAGATGATAAAGGCAGAGAGAGAGATCATCGTGTTGAGGCAGGGAAAGCTCTCTCTGAAGCAATATATTAGAAAGGCCACTCGCATAAGGTCTCATTTACTTCGATATGAATCGTGGGACCACGCTGCAGCGAGGTGTTTCATCAGGGGTATCGAGGATATGAACACTAGACTCCGTGTCACTCAAATCGGCGGCTTAGTACACGTACCTGATTCGTATACACTATCTCAAGCAATTGAGGCTACCAGATCTTTCCTAAGACAACGCAAGTGGGAGGAGCAGGTGAGAGGGGGTGGAGAAGCCCACGCGTACGAACCGTCAGACTTGAATGCAGAGAGCAGCAGTAGCAACGATAATGACGAATCAGTAGGGGAGGGGGGGGAGCGGAGGGAACACCAGGGAAGAACACCAAAACTATTGCCATCACGGAGGCAAATCTTACAGATTTTAAGAGGATATTGCAGGATGTGTTGCAACCCATCAGAGAAAATCTAAACCGGATCGAAACGAGTAGTTACCCCGCAACATATCCACCGGCAGTTCAGTAAGAGGGTCAAGAAAATATTCCCGATCAGACCCGGCCTTGTAGATATCATGACCAACCACCGATGGGCTGCCAAATGCCAAGTAATCGGTGGCCCAGTACGCAAATAGCTGTAGACCGTCGAATCGATCACAAGCACCATTGTATAGTAGGCGCCCTTCATAGGACGCAGGCGCAACGCGCGTTCTAGGCGACTAGTATAGATCCTCGATAATGTGTTAGAGGCACTTGGGGCATGTAAGTGTAATGTACTTGTAGCTTAAAATTGGTGTCAAGTACAAGTATTGAAGCTAAGACTTGAGTATCACGCATTAGCACAAGTAGCTTAGGATAGAAAGAATGGAAAAGGTCTAAAATGACACATTTTCGGTAGACGTGCTCTACAATAAGACATGATGCAAGATGACACAGTTCACGATACGACCCGGATGGCTGAGCATTGACATTGAAGGGTTAGGGGTTCTGCTTCATCTTGGCACACCGCCAAGGTCAAGTACCACTTCCACCGCAGCATCCACCATGGGCGGGTGGTCTAGTGGTTAGACTGCTCGTCGGGTTAGACACCGTGTGTTTACCCAGGACACACACAAGGTCCTGGGTTCAAACCAGGGGTGGGGGTAGTAACGCACAATCAGCAATAAGTCGTTGCAGTACCTTTTGTTCAGTTTTATGTTTGGTTTTTTAATTTGGAGCGAAATAAAGATTTCTCTAGAGGAGGAATTTGAAGCTAGGGGTGAGTGGTGGGGCTGGGAATTGACCCTTATTGCTGGTTTTGCCCGATGTCTTTGTGCTCTCGGCGTGAGGTTGAGTAGATTTCTATTTGGATCATAGCCAACTGTTTCATGTGTTGTTATTGCAGAGCATGTATACTCTACCGAAAACTGTGTTATTTTTAGACCATTTTCATAGAAATAAACATAAGCAGCAACGGCACCATCATAAAGGAGTACATCTTTTCCATCTTTTTTAAGCTTTGCATTAATCCACCTTAGTTAACGATCCTTCCCCTATCTAGTCATATCTTGTTTTGAAAACGCCCTCATACCCACCGTAAAAGGCAAATTAATTAAACTTGTGACAGTTCGCCGAGACGGTACTTGACTATTGGGCGTTGAGGGTACATACCGTTAATTCTTGAGAAATCCACTATCTCCACTTCACTAAATCTTAATTCCAGGTGAGAAAAAAGTACATACATGTATGTATCTGCACGAATCCGTGAAGTTTGATACGCCAATTCGCCTTGGTTCGGACTTACCACATACAAATACGGAGATAGTGGATTATTCGAGAATTAACGGTATTGAATAGCGAAATATGTGCCTTGGAGCTCTTTTACAGAGTTTATTCATGTAGTGGGATATAAGATATCGATATAGAGAACGGGACAATTTAAAAGTCGAAGATGATTACCGTGATCTATATACACTAGGACAACCTGCCTCAAAGGACCGCATGCCTGTCTGCTAGTGTATTCTACTCCTTTACTCCAAGTATCATAATCCTGAATATGAAGTCTTAATTAAACAACTTCCACCTAGGAATCACAACCAGCACAGCGAGGAGATCACAACTTCAAAACCAAAGCCAAGTACGTGAAACAATCGTAGATCAATTGCAAGCAAGTCAATTGACTAATTTCATTCCTATTATACTTTCGTTTGCCTAGACCACTATTCAGGGCCCCTAACCTCCCCACCACCACCACTAGCCACATTTACCACATCCACCACCACCACCACATCAAACCCCGCCCACAACCAAGTACACCCCCAAGTATCTATAAACCAGTCCACCCCCCCCTCCGTCCAGGAGGAGAGAAAGAAAAGAAGTGCAGTAAGAAGAAATGCAACAAAAAAACCCAAACAGCCACCCGTTCCATGTAAATCATCAACTCATCGCCACCATATAGCCGTAAGTAAACCTTCTAACCCCACCACCCCCACCCCCAACCCACCCCAGCGCAAAGGGGGCCGGCGCAGCCGGGAAAACACCAACAGACCCCAGCTATGTAGTAGTATGATAGTAGTAATAATAATAATAATGCAAAGGACGAAAGAAAGAAAGATGCAAGAAAAATGGGATGGATGGAACTAGATGATATCTAAGCATTCATGAAAAGCTTGAAGATGTAAAAGAGAAGAAAAAAGAAGACAATAACACCTATAAAACCGCAAAAGACCACACCAGTATAATATTGTCAAAGAAAAGAAAGAAAGAAAAATATGAAAGCCGAAAAACTATTAAAGAATACAGCCATCCAACCCAGCCCAACCCAGCCCACGAGGGGATCAAAAGAAGAAAAGAAAAGAAAATCTTCTACCCAACAACCTCCTCGTCAGCAGCAGCAGCAGTTTCCCAATCATCAACGACATCCTCCTCCTTCGCCTTCTCCTTCCCCTTCTCCGTCTTCTTCTGCAGCACCAACTTCTTCCTCAACCCCTCGCCACTCCTCTTCTCCTGCAACCAGCTCCCGGCGGCCGCCGAGGGCTCCCCACCACCCGAGCCCAGCATACCGAACACATTCCTGGTGCTCAGACCCGTAGACACCAGTCTAGCCGGCGGCACGCCCTTATTCGACGCGACGGTTGACCACTGGTTCCCCTGCCGGCCGATCACTAGGCCGTCCTTTGTGACGGCGCATAGTTCCGCGCTGTCGGCGATGCCGCGCTGCGCGATGAGGCGCTTGAGCTTTGGGCTCATCTCCGTGAGCTCGAGCTCGATCTGCTCGGTACCGAGGCTGCTGGTCTTGGGCAGGAGGAGGACTTCCTCGTCGCCGGACCAGGTCAGGCTGAAGCGCAGCTGGGAGTCCTTCAGGACGTATTCCAGCTCCTTCTCGAGCTCGGAGGTGAGCAGGCCGACGCGGATTCCTTTGAGGAGGAGGGCGTTGAAGGCTTGCTTTACTGGTTTTTTGAGTTGCAGTAGAACTGATGCTGGCATGGCGCTAGGCATGGCGCTGGGCTTGCTGACGAGGAACTCGGCGATTGTTTTCCTGGGTGCTGCGACGAAGCTGGAGCCTTTGGTTAGGACTACGCTGCGGTACGGTTCTGGATCTTGAGATTCAGACTCAAGACCAAGTCTGTAGCAAGGGTATGAAGGAAAGCGCGCTGGCTGCTCTTCATGGGTTGGAAAGCAAGACGCTTTGAGTTTCCTTCCGCAAATACCCTGTATTTGGCTTCAATGGTCGTTGAAAAACTTCTTGTCTCTATTGTAGAAGAAAAGGGTTTCCTCAGAATACGGCGTGTACCGCATCACGATCAGGATCAACGTCAAGTGCAAAAGCCATGCGACGGCTTCGGCATGCATCAGTGACACTTAAGTTCCTTCTTGTTACCACAGGGTTAGCTTATAGGCCCCGCATTTAATCTCCTGCTTCAAGCCGCCACAGGCGCACTTGAGCACGAGCTTCGCTGTGCATGGTTTGTCCTCGAGCACTGGAAAGGAGCATGTCGCATCTAAGCATACATGCCCACAGGACTGATTTTGGCTTTCCACATTGCTGCTTACATGGCTCGTCGCATTGTCCACCCTGTGGCATACCTTGCGGCACAGGTGGGATCCACATGAAAGTTTCCTGCCACATTCTGTTCCACAAGAGACCGCGTCTCCAACAGGGAATTGATTTGACTGATTTCTTTCCACATAGACAGATCTTCTCAACCAGATAAGGGCACTTCGGACAACTCTCTTCGTCGGGATGACAAGGGTGGGAAACCGCGGGATGGTTGCAGCTCTTTGCCCTTGTGCACTGGTGTTACAAGCCGGGGGCTGGCTCCGCAAGGAACTGGGGCAGGAGTAACTGTACGCCCACAATTACAGCTTAAATCTTCGAAGCTGGCTTCAAGACAGTTCCCACAGTTCCCACGATGACACAGCATGGGGCAAGTGTGAGTCCCGCACTTGAGTAATCTTCCACAAGGTCGAGTGCAGATATGCTCCGGCTCAATTCCTTCGTCGTTCGAATTAGAAGCCAATGGCCTCTTCTTCTTTGAAGACAACCTCTCCATAGCTTTCGACTCCCAGAGCAGCATTTATCACCGCACTCATGTCTCCCACAGTTCAAAGCTGCTCTGCACGTGCGCATGCATTGCGGGGGTCTCCTTCCTCGCCCTGGTGACAGAGACTGCTCGAACTAGTTTTTCCACAACGGCATACAATAGATACCGTCTTCATGCACATGCCGCAGTCTCCATCGTGGCAAGTCTTTTGACATGGATGCCCACATT